GCTTCGCTCGCTGGGTGCCTCCCTGGTGAGGGTGAGCAAATTCTCGCCCTGCCGAGATGTGTGGGCTTCTTTCGCCGCGTCCCAACCGGTCCCTCTTTGCTAATTAGGAACTACAGAGCCGGATGCAAACCGATTACGAACTACAACGCGCTCCGCAGCACGGCCGGAGGCCAAACTCTTAAAACGAGCGAGCGGCGACCACAATGCAACGGTTTGTGATTTGCATGTCGACGCCCCCCTCTCCCGCCTCCACCAACCCGCTTTCATCCAATCAGAGCGTGAGAATAGCGAGCGCCCGCCCCGGAGTGAGCGGCGGACCCTCCAAGAGACCGAAGGAAGGGGCGTGGCCTGTGGAACGTTCCCGGGAGCGCGCGGAGGGCGGCGGAGATAGAGGCGGCGTTTGCAGCTGCGACCCGGAAAAAGCAAGAAATCGGGTTGGTTGTAAAGGGGAATGAGAGAGGGGTTGGGAGAGGACGGGCCTGGGTGTGGGCGTGCGCCCCAAAGCGTTAATCCGCGTTGCAGAAGAGGGACGGGGGAGCGTCAGTTTGTTCCTTTGCATAAGAGCATAAGCTCAGATCTTTTGGTCTGGATCAAGCCAAGTGCTCCATCGAGTTCAGTATCCTGTGGACGAGCAGTTGCCCTGGAGGGCCAACAAGGCACATAAGCTAAGGCTTCCCCTGATGCTGATTCCTGGCTTTCAAAGGTTTACTGCTTCTGGATGTGGAAGTAACCTTGGATCACCACGGCCAAGGGACACTGAGGCAAACAGATTGTGTGGACTGGCCAAAAGCAGATTGTTTAGTATATGTATTTAGTATTCAACACTCGTTGCATACATTATATGCAACTCTGTATGGTAAAACTCTGTTATTATCCCACGGTTGCAAGTGGGAGGCTGAGACAGACAGTGGCACACCTTGAACGGTGAGGAAGGATGGGGTAGAAAGGTTTTAGTAAATAAATAAGGCCACCTAACGGGTTCATGGCGGGGTCAAGGTTCCAACCAGGGACGTGCTGATTCAGAGCCGAGGGATGGTGGCGAAGGCTGTGCCTGCAGGCTAGAAGGAGCAGGAGCTGTGCTCGTGTAACAGGCAGTGTCAGTTGAGAGAATACGGTAGGTCCCGCTCCGAAGAGGATTGTTGCAAGTGACTCTCTCCTAATGCCACTAGGCTATCCAGAAGAGACAGTTTGGCTCTCTTTGCGCCCCCCTTGGAGATGGGTCGGAAACGGAAGGCCTCCAAAGCCCTGGATGGGGAACCCAGCGATGGAGGGGCGGAGTTGGAGCTACGCTGGGAGTGGGAGGCCTCCGACGGCAGGTGGCAGCAGTTCCCACCGGAGCAGAGTGAGGCCCTCAGCCAGGCGGCCAGGTGAGTCGGAGGAGTGCCTGTTGGGCCTCTGTGTGAAGCACGGCCGCCTCGGGCAGGGCTCTGAGAGGCAAGCTTCACTTCTTCCGCAGGGCAGGAAAGCTTTCTGTGGACCTCGGCGAGTCCTCCGTCGACCTATGTGGGATGGTGCAGCGGAAGAAGCAGACGGGGCAGGAGACACACGTGGCTGCAGCAGTCCGGGCACAGGACTCTTGTGAGTGCCTCTTGGCGCACTAGGAAAGGGGCTGGGTGGGGGTGCTGAGCCCCTGGAACTGCCATTTCTGACTCTGCCATGAACACCTTTACTCTGAGAGTTCCCAGACAGTGCGTGTGGCCGGGGTGTGTGTGTGTGACTTCCATTAAATCTTGGCTGCCCGAAATATCCACCAGTAGAGGAGGATGCCATGTGCATCTCTGTATGAGTCTCTACACTGGCCGTCTCCTTCCAATTAGGCTCTCCTGGGCTAGGGGTCATTTACCACGTGCAGCCCAAAGTGGTACAGTCTGGTCTCGCCATCCCCAGGGCTCTACCACATCATTCTACTGCATGAGTGGGCCTCGCCCCAGAAAATCTGGAGGGGGGGAACGTCCCAAAAGTGCTGAATTCAGAAACCAGGTGTCGTCCGGCCCTCGCTTGTGAGAATCCAGCCTCTGCCCTGCAGTCTTCCTGCTTATATTCTCATCTCCTTCCTTTTTGTGTGGGGACAGATTTTGTGTGGCAGTGGCAAGGGGACCAAGAAGGGGATTGGCTTCCGTACCCGGCCAATACCTGCCTGGCCTTGCAGGCAGCCAAGAACGGCCACGGGGAGCCCACGGTGGAAATGATGGCTGGCCGGACCCGCTACAAGCTGGACACGACCCGCATGGCGCAGATCAACACCCGTACCGGATTTGAACGCGAGATGGAATGCCGGCCGTCTGGTACGAGAGGCAAGGGCAGTACAAGGGCTTTGAGGGGGGTTTTCCCCCTTCATCGAGGCTGCTGGGTTCTTGGCTCCAGCCTGCTGTTGCAGAGGGTGGAGGAAAATGGGGGTGTTGAATTCTCATCTCAGGGCCAGGAGAGATGGAAAAGGAGGTAAAAAGTAAAGGTAAAGGTTTCCCTTGCTCGAAAGCCAGTCAAATCCGACTCTAGGGTTGCGGTGCTCATCTCTGTTTCAAAGCCGAAGAGCCAGCGCTGTCCGAAGACGTTTCCGTGGTCATGTGGCCGGCATGACTAAACACCAAGGCGCACGGAACGCTTTTACCTTCCCACTGAAGTGGTACCTGTTTATCTACTTGCAATTTCTTGCTTTCGAACTGCTAGGTTGGCAGGAGCTGGAACTAGAGACGGGAGCTCACTCCGTCATGCGGCACCCGGGTCTTGAACGGCTGAACTACCGACCTTCCACAGCCTGCAGTTCAGCGTCTTGGGAGCAATGTTCCCTCTAAGCTGTGGAGTCTTGTGAGCGAAAATTCTACTTTGTGAGCTGCTGGCATTAAAGTTGTGAGCGAGCGATTTGGCTGCTGCATAAATTAGTCTGCTCTGGAGCCATCCTTCCTGAGCTGAGACAAAAATGTGTGAGCCAGAGGCTAAAAAGCTGTGAGCTGGCTCACACTAACTCAGCTTAGAGGGAACACTGGTTGGGAGCTATGTCTCTTGTGGATCTCCGTCTCTGGCACTTCAGGACTTGGGATTTGTGGACGCTCTCCCCGTCTCTGGGGAGGAAGCCCGGTCCATTCTCCTCTCTTACCAGGTTTTAGAATAGCTCACGGCTGGAGCCCATAGATGTTGGGCCTGTTGCCAGCTCAAGTCCCAAACTCATTGCAGTCTCTGATCGGGCTTCTCTGTTGCTCTTCCCAAGTGTTTGTGAGTCAGCTGCTGCCCAGGGCCTGTGGGTGCAACGGAGCAGTGTGATCTCCTTGGGAGGGAGGCCAAAGCTCTTTCTGCGGGTCTCTCTTGCCCCAGATCGGTGAGAGCCGGGGTATTTGGAGGTTTTTAAGCAGAGGCTTGATGGCCCTCTGACAGCCATGCTGATTCTGTGAACTTGGGCAGATCATGAGAAGGAAGGGCCGCACTAGTGCTTAGTTCTCGTGGCCCATTCTTACACGCCCAAGGAAATGCCGATCGACGCTGAACTGCAGGCTGTGGAAGGTCGGTAGTTCAGCAGTTCGAGACCCGGGTTGCCGCATGACGGAATGAGCTCCCGTCTCTAGTTCCAGCTCCTGCCAACCTAGCAGTTCGAAAGCAAGAAATTGCAAGTAGATAAATAGGTACCACTTCAATGGGAAGGTAACAGCGTTCCGTGCGCCTTGGTGTTTAATCGTGCCGGCCACATGACCACGGAAGTGTCTTCGGACAGCGCTGGCTCTTCGGCTTGGAAACGGAGATGAGCACCGCAACCCTAGAGTCGGACTCGACTGGCTTTCGAGCAAGGGAACCTTTACCTTTACTTTACTTTGGGGTCAGGAAGCAAATTTTCTCCAGGCCAGTTTGGCCGGGGATCCTGGAAGGTTTTTTGTCATCTTCTGGGCGTGGAACAGGGGTCACTGCGGGTGTGGAGGGGGAGGGATTTGTGAATTTCCTGCAGTGTGCAGGGGGTTGGACTAGATGACCCCGGGGGTCCCCCTTCCAACTCTATGATTCTAGGGTTTGTTGGTTCAAGGACAGAAAGGGATTTGTGTTGTGTGTGTGTGTGTGTGTGTTTGTTTTTTAAATGATGCCTTTTATGGCTATTCTCTCCAGTCTCCTTTGGGTATTTGGACCACAAATACATTCTTGAATCAATAAATTCCCTCCCCAGCTTTTGGAGAGGAAGTCCAGCGAGATGGGTTGCTAGGCCGAGACCCTGTGAAGCAGATAAGCAAAGAGTCAAACAATGGGAGCAGACACACCCCAGAGGGCCTTGCGATGACTCACTGGTTGAATCCAAAGCCAGCAGCCTCTCGTCTGGCAACCAGGAGACAAACTGAATACAGCACGTAATACACAGAGAGATGGGGGGGGGGGAAGCAGTAGGGAGAGGAGAAATGAGAAGGTAGGAGGGGGTCCCTGGCATTGCTCCCTCTAAGCTGTGGAGTCTTGTGAGCAAAAATTCTACTTTGTGAGCTACTGGCATTAAAGCTGTGAGCGAGCGACTTGGCTGCTGCATAAATTATTTTGCTCTGGAGCCACCTTTCCTGAGCTAAGACCAAAATGTGTGAGCCGGAGGCTAAAAAACTGTGAGATAGCTCACACTAACTCAGCTTAGAGGGAACACTGGTCTCTGGCACTAACCTGATGTTGCTCCCCTTTTCAGAAGGCCCCCGGTTGGTGTTTCAGTTGCTGCCAACCGGGAGTCCCGTTCCATCCCACTCTTCTTGTGCCATCCAGATGCCGCTGTGCCCGAGGAAGGAAGATCTCAAGGCGGCGACAGCGTCTCCGATCCCAGAGGCCCTGCGGCCACAAAGAAGGCCCGGAACGGAGCAGAGGCGGCAGCATCTCCGGGAGAGGGGGATGGCAAGGGTAAGCGGGCCACAGTGGCTGAACTGATGTCCAAAACTCTCAGCCAGACAAAGATTTTGGCAGCCTAGTCCTTGGGGTGCCTGATAGGTGACTCACAGTAAGAACTGAGACACAAAACCGGCAGTCTCGCAAAGCGGACCTCGGAGGCCGCTTGGGGCCACTGTGTCATATTAATAGCTTTGGCAAGCGAGAAACTTGCTTTAAAACACAATCAGTGCTGATGACTGGATCTCAGGGCAAAATCCTATACTTGGGAGTTGCTCTTTAAGTCGTCTGCACAGCCCTGTTTCATGCCTGTCTCCTTCTCTCCCAGGAGAGGCTGTGAAGACGTTGATCGTGAAGGGGAAAGCTCCTGTGGACCCAGAATGCACTGCAAAGATAGACAAAGTAAGGCACTGGCTATCCTGAATGTTGGCGCTCCGCCATCTTGGAACCTAAGCAAAGCCATCTTGGAGGTGGAATGATAAATGGGTCTTTTGTGGCCCACTGACAGCAGATCGCTTGGGACATTGCCGGGCGGGGGCAAAACAACCTGTCCTTGGGGAGTTTTACTTTAGGAGCAGACAACAGGTGCCCTGCCCCCCCCCCCAAGCCCAGTCGTGTCCCTTGTGAGGAACACTCTGGGGCTCCAGTTGGAAGGAGCAGCAGTCACCCTAAGGGGACTTTGTGGGGTGATGACAGCATTCGTTTGCCATCCAGCCCAACTTTTTGAAAGCTAGTTGCTGACTAAATGCACCACCCGTGTGCAATACCATGCGATTGTGTGACCACACCCATCCCCATGTGTACATTTTCAGGTCGCCTCAGTGTGGCAATTTTGAGACTTAAACCAGCCTTCTTGTCAGGTTTTTCTCATTCCGTGGCAAAGAAGGGTGGGTGCCTGAAGCATCTAGCTTATAGTCCCTAACAATGTTCCCTCTAAGCTGTGGAGTCCTGTGAGCAAAAATTCTTCTTTGTGAGCTACTTTCATTAAAGTTGTGAGCAAGTGATTTGGTTACTGCCAATGCTCCCTCTAAGCTGTGGAGTCTTGTGAGCAAAAATTCTACTTTGTGAGCTACTGGCATTAAAGTTGTGAGCAAATGATTTGGCTCCTGCTTAACCTAGTTTGTTCTGGAGCCATCCTTCCTGAGACGGAACAAAAATGTGTGAGCTGGAGGCTAAAAAAATGTGAGCTAGCTCACACTAACTCAGCTTAGAGGGAACACTGGTTACTGCATAGATTAGTTTGTTCTGGAGCCTTCCTTCCTGAGGTAAGACAAAAATGTGTGAGCCGGAGGCTAAAAAAACTGAGCTAGCTCACACTCACTCGGCTTAGAGGGAACACTGGTCCCTAAAGCTCTGTGAACCTGTGTCACTATGTCATTTTTTCTTTCTTTTTTTGTCTCCTCTCTCCGCTTCCTGCCGATAACAGGCTCACGTTTATTGTGAGGGAGAGGACGTTTACGATGTGATGTTAAATCAGGTGAGCAGAGGATGCCAGTTTGTTGAAGCGAATCAAAGCAGCAGGGCCCCCCGGGAGGGTTAAAGCAGGGTGACCATCTTGGCGGGGCGGCCTGTGTGGAAGGGGAGCTGCCTGTTAAAATGGCTGTCCTGGGCTCCTTGGTGGTCTCCTCAGTCATATCTCCAGGATGGATGGCTGTTCCCAGGGCTATTTCTGGGCAGGAACGCACAGGAACGGAGTTCCGGCTGGCTCCCGAGTCTGGCTCCAGCAGGAACTCATTAGCATAACAGGCCACACCCAACAGCAGGAACTCATTAGGATTGGCTACATTAGGGGTGTGGCCTAACATGCATAGGAGTTCCTGGAACAAAAAAAGCCCTGGGTTTGGACAACAAACAAGGTAAACAGAATAAGAAGCAAAAGGTGGGTGTGGCTGGATGAGCGCACTTCTAGTAACATGGGAATGCGGCCTAATGTGCTAATGAGTGGTGCAATCAGGGGTGTGGCCTAATATGCTAATGAGTTTCTGATGTTGGGTGTGGCCTATTATGCTAATGAGTTCCTGTTGGACTTTTTCTACAAAATAAGCCCTGGCTGTTCCACATCACATAAGGTCCCAGGTTCAGTTCCCGGCCCATGCTCCCTCTAAGCTGTGGAGTCTTGTGATTAAAAATCCTACTTTGTGAGCTACCGGCATTCAAGTGGTGAGCGGGCGATTTGGCTGCTGCGTAAATTAGTTTGCTTGGGAGCCCCATCCTTCCCGAGCGGAGACAAAAATGTGTGAGCCGGGGGCTAAAAGACTGTGAGCTGGCTCACACTCACTCAGCTTAGAGGGAACGCTGCATCCTGGCATTTGCAGTTAAAGGATCTGGCAGCAGGTGATGGGAAAGACCTCAGCCAGAGTCCCTGGAGAGCTGCTGCCAGTCCAAGCAAATACTGACCCTGATGGACCAAAGGTCTGGTTCTTTGTTAGGCAGCTTCCCGCATGACACTCATGCGCAAGACGCTTTATATAGCAAGATTGAAGCAGAGGTCCATCAGTGGCTATTAGCCACAAGGTATAGATAGGGGCTCTGGGGCGAGTGATGCTCTGTCTTCTTGGTGCTTTGGGGGGGGGCAACAGTGGGAGGGCTTCTAATGTCCTGGCCCCACTGGGGGACCTCCTGATGGCACCTGGTGTTTCTGGCCACTGTGTGACACAGAGTGTTGGACTGGATGGGCCTTTGGCCTGATCCAACATTGGCTTCTCTTATGTTCTTCTGTAATATGGGGGTAAGGGGTGGGAGAACCATCCAGGAGGTAGCTGCTTTTGAGGGAACCGGGAAGCAGGTGCCCAAAAGATGTATGTTCGCATCCTGAATCCTGCCTTCATCTTTTTGGGCCCTCCCAGACAAATCTTCAGTTCAACAACAACAAGTACTACCTCATCCAGTTGTTGGAGGACGATGGAGCACGAAGCTACAGTGTCTGGATGCGCTGGGGGCGCGGTAGGTCCAGAAGACACGGGTCTTGGTGGCTGCCAAAGAGCACGAATAGGCTTTAAAAACGTGGGTGTGGGTGTGGGTTTGAACTTAAAAGCCAGTTTGGTGTAGTGGTTAAGAGTGGCAGACTGTAATCTGGAGAGCCAGGTTTGATTCTCCACTTCTCCACATGCAGCCAGCTGGGCGACCTTGGGTCAGTCACAAGTTCTCTCAGCGTTCTCTCAGCCGCACCTACCTCACAGGATGTCTGTTGTGGAGAGAGGAAGGGTAGGCAATTGTAAGCTGCTTCAAGACTCCTTTGGATAGTGAAGGGTGGGGTGTAAAACCAACTCTTCTTAATTTCTTAAGAGTGAGACAGGCCTGGGCCCTGTTCGGTCATCATGTCCGATCTTGCTGCTGGACAGTGCTGTGATGGGACGATTATGGAGGATATGTCCATGGGTGGCAGTTAGGCACAACAGCTGAGGAAGGAGTCTCCCAAGTCCAGGAGGAGTCTACCTCTTGTGAACAAATGACTAAGACAGTCAACAAGTGAAAGCTGTTGGCTTCGTAGACCACTTAATGGGAGCATTGGGCTGGTCACTGTCAGGCAGAGGATTAGGCTGGATAGATCTCTGACCTGACTTAGCATGGCAAAGCAATTTTTGTTGTTGTTATATGACTCTTCCAGTCCAAACTATGTAGGGGCTTATGGATGTGTAAACAGTATTTCCCAGAAGCTAGGACTCCTGGGTTTCCCCCCCAGAGCCGTAAGAAATGACTCATTCTCTCCTGCCGTGTGTATGTGTGTTCGGAGCTCACCCCCCATTTTTTTCCTCAGTGGGTAAACCGGGTCAGCACACCCTCGTGAGTTGCGCTGGAGACTTGAGTAAGGCCAAAGCCGTTTTCACCAAGAAGTAAGTAGAGCCGGAACTCGGAGGATTCCCCATCTAGTCCAGAGTTCCCTGTCTCTGAAGTGATCTTGACCTTTTCCTTCTGTTTCTTCTAGATTCTTGGATAAAACTAAGAATGAGTGGGCCAAGCGGGGTAACTTCCAGAAGGTTCCGGGCAAATACGACCTTCTCCACATGGACTATGAAGCCCATGATGCAGTGAGAAATTGGGAAAAGTTGGGGAGAGGGGAGAATGAAGAAAAAGGGGTGCTCTGCCAACTCAAGGCTCTTGTTGACATTCCCACCAGGGTGAAGAGGAAGCCACTTCGCAGAAGACAATCTCGTCTCCCAAGCCAGCATCACAGCTGGATCCACGGGTGCAGGCCTTGGTGGAACTGATCTGCAGCATCCGCACCATGGAAGAGATGGTTGTGGAGATGAAGTATGACACCAAGAAGGCCCCTCTAGGTGAGTGACCCTAGCCGGTCACTTCCGAGTTTTAGCTCAGTGACTCTGAAGAGATACAGCAGGGAAGGGGGTAGGGAATGACCTTTTAAAGGCTGTTTTGAAGGTAGAATTGTGAATACAGATTTCAGTTCCTCTGTAGTGGCTGGGCATCTTTAAAGAAATCTGTTCTACCCCTTCAGGAAACATTCTTAGTGAAAGTAAGTGCTCATAACATCAGTGCCAGTGTTTGCTGGAATGCCCTGTAAGTGGGAGAATAAGGAAGTTACCATTTTGTGTTCTAGAGCTTTAGTCAATTAAGAGCCAGTTTGGTGTAGTGGTTAAGTGTGCAGACTCTAATCGGGGAGACCCGGGTTTGATTCCCCACTCCTCCACTTGCAGCTGCTGGATGACCTTGGGCAGGCCATAGTTCTGTCAGAGGTGTTCTTGAAAAAGAGCAGTTTGTGTCAGAGCTCTCTCAGCCCCACCTACCTCACAGGGTGTCTGCTGTGGGGAGGGGAAGGGAAAGGAGATTGTGAGCCGCTCTGAGACTCCTTTGTGTAGTGAAGGGCGGGGTGTAAATCCAGTCGTCGTCTTCTTCCTTCCTGCCTCCCATTTGTCTCCCGCAACAGGAAAGCTGACAGCTGAACAGATCCGGGCCGGTTACCAGTCGCTGCAAAAGGTGGAGGCCTGTCTGAAGAGGAAGCAGACTGGCCGCGCCCTGCTGGAGGCCTGCAACGAGTTCTACACTCGGATCCCCCACGATTTTGGGTCGGTGCCTCCGCGTCAGTCGAGGAGGGGAGGGCCTTCCGTTGCCTTCGGGGGGGGGGGGACTGCATCACATGACCCAAGGCCGGGTTCTCTCCCTCCTGCATCTGTTGCTCTCTCCCCACAATCCACACTCTCCCAATGTTAACTCACTTTGGTGGCGGTAGTAACAGAAGGTGCCTCTTTCCCATCCCTGCTCGTCTCAGACTGATGCCAGTCGAGGGTGGAACCAGACGTGGATTGGTTTTGTGGTTCTTTTCCAGGCGGTTCAGTTACCAAGCGGCAGCCACTAGACTGCAAGTCGAAGGATGAGACGGGGGGGGGGGGGCTTTCCAGCCCTTTGCCTTCCTGCTGTTTCCCTCTTGAAAGCTTCACACTCCCCTAGTGAGGCAGATTTTTGGGATGGAGGACATCTCCAGTGGGAAAATGTTCTAAGCGGCAATAGCAACGTCTTCCTGTGCTGGTCTTCCCCCATTTAAGTTGTAGGCCCAGGGGCCACACTCCCCCACCCCACCCATAACCTTAAGTCCTGAAACTAATCACAGCTCTCATAAACTTGTGAATGAGAGAGGAGGTGGTGTATGTATGTGTAAGAAGTTGTGCTCAGTCCTGTCTTTCCTTAAGGTAAAGGTTCCCTTGCTCGAAAGCCAGTCGAATCCGACTCTAGGGTTGTGATGCTCATCTCCGTTTCAAAGTCGAAGAGCCAGCGCTGTCCGAAGACGTTTCCGTGGTCATGTGGCCGGCATGACTAAACCCCAAGGCGCACGGAACGCTGTTACCTTCCCACCGAAGTGGTACCTATTTATGTACTTGCAATTTCTTGCTTTCGGACTGCTAGGTTGGCAGGAGCTGGGACTAGAGACGGGAGCTCACTCTGTCATGCGGCACCTGGGTCTCGAACTGCTGAACTACCGACCTTCCACAGCCTGCAGTTCAGCGTCTTAACCACTTGAGCCACCGCAGCTCCTTTCCTTTTAAGAGTCTGCCTTTTCTCTTCTTCCACAGGCTGAAGACTCCCCCATTGATAAAGTCAGAAGAGGAGTTGCAAGAGAAAGCGCAGCTCTTAGAGGTAAGAATACCTGCATGGGGCAGGACGGTTAAGGATGGGAAGTGGGTCTGGCAAGGTGGGGGGGGAGACTTTTGACCACCCAGGGAGGGCCCAAGGCCAGGTGGGCAGATAACGTCTGTGCCCTGGGGCCTATTGAGCTTTTCTTGCAGGTAGGCCACCCTCCCTGAGAGCTATTGGGGGTGGAGGGCTCTATTCTCATACAAATGGTAGACAGAGCCTGCTTTTTGTAGGGTGAACAACCTGTAAAATGGTACAGATTTAAGATAACTTGTTGGGGATTCATTTCTTCAGTGAAAGGTGGTGGGATTCACAGCTCCTGTTCCATGTGGCCGCTCTTTCCTTATGTGGACAGTCGCCTGTTATTCGGGGTTAAAAGAAAGGCCACTTTTCTTATTCTCTGAGGCACAGTTGCTTCACATCTAACAGCGGTCACCCCTTATTAAAAATATTCAGATATGAGTTCTTCCTCACGCCGTTTTTTTTTTTAACCCATTAAGGCCTGTGGGTGGTAGTCACTTGAGACTGCAAAGTGAGCCTGTGGCCCCAGACTGGCTGAAGGGGGGATTCTCCTCCCCTCTGGACTATCAGTTTGGGGCTCCTGGCAGCGGAGGCTGGCTTGTCATTCGTTTGCTTTTGCCCCCCGAGGCCCTGGGCGAGATCCGCATCGCCATCAAGCTGGTGCAGTCAGAGCAACTGGCCCTGGAGCACCCGCTGGACCGGAGCTACCGCGGACTGAGCTGCCAACTGCAGCCCTTGGAGAGGGATACCCCGGACTTCCAGGTGGGTTGCGAGCAAGGGGGGGGGAGAGGCCCTGCCCTTGCTCGGAAAGACCTGTTGGGGAGTGGGTCCCACTCCGTGGTTTCAATTCTCCCTGCTTCTCAGGTATTAGAGCGATACCTGCTGTCCACCCATGCCCCGACCCACATGGATTACACAATGACCCTCCTGGAGGCCTTCGTGCTGGACAAGGGCAGTTCCGCCTTCCGCTCTGACCTGCCCAACCGGTGAGTGGGGCGGGGCTGTGCAGAAGGTCCCAGGTTCAATCCCCAGCATCTCCAGGCACAAGGACCAGGGGGTAGGTGAAGTGGAAGACCTCAACCGGAGAGCCCCGGGAGCTGCTGCTGGTAGACAGGACCGACCTCGATGGACCAATGGTCTGATTCAGTATGAGGCAGCTTCCATGTTTGAGTGGGAAGCTGAGTGGGCGGAGCAGGAGGAGGAACAGGCATTTCACCTCCAGTCGTAAGAACATAAGAGCAGCCAATGCTGGATCATCAGGCCAAAGGCCCATCCAGTCCAACACTCTGTGTCACACAGTGGCCAGAAATACCAGGTGCCATCAGGAGGTCCACCAGTGGGGCCAGGACATTAGAAGCCCTCCCACTGTTGCCCCCCCCCAAGCACCAAGACTACAGTGCATCAACTGCCCCAAACTGAGAGTTCCTGTCTATACATTGTGGCTAAAAACCACTGATGGACCTCTGCTCCATATGCTTGTCTAATTCCCTCTTGAAGCCATCCATGCTTGTAGCCGCCACCACCTCCTGTGGCAGTGAATTCCATGTGTTCATCACTCTTTGGGTGAAGAAGTACTTCCTTTTATCTGTTCTAACCTGACCGCTCAGCAATTTCGTTGAGTGCCCACGAGTTCTTGCATTGTGAGAAAGGGAGAAAAGTACCTCTTTCTCTACCTGCTCCATCCCATGCATAATCTTATAAACCTCGGCCCTTCCCCTTTCAGGATGCTGCTGTGGCACGGATCCCGCCTGGGAAACTGGGCCGGGATTTTGAGCCAGGGGTTGCGAGTGGCACCACCCGAGGCTCCCGTCACAGGCTACATGGTGAGTCTCCCACATTCCCCTGCTCTTGGATCTGTTCACACTGCGGCTGTCCCCGTCTTCATGGCCATGTCTCTCTCTCTCTCTCTCTCTCTATTTTTCCCAGTTTGGGAAAGGGATCTATTTTGCTGACATGTCCTCTAAGAGCGCCAATTACTGTTTCGCCACCCGTGAGAGAGACATTGGCCTACTCTTGCTTTCAGAGGTGAGACCCGCTGCCCTTCCCGAGCTTCTGGGGGGGGGGGGAAGAGTCACAGTGGCTCATGGACACGCCCACCTCCAATCTAGCTGTCGTCTTCTGGCCTGCACAGTTTTCCTGTCTCCACCTCCCTCCCGTTGCCCCATGAATTACGATAATTGCCCAGACACCGTTCACGTGTTCAGCTTAAGGTGTTCGAGGGCCTTACGCTCGTGAAATCCGCACTCGCCTTCTGTCCCCCTTGCAGGTGGCTCTGGGCGAATGCAACGAACTGCTGGAGGCAAATCCCGAAGCCGTGAATTTGCCGCCCCACAAGCACAGCACCAAAGGGCTCGGCAAGCTGGCCCCGGCCAACAGCACCACTCTGTGAGTTTTCCCGGGAAGGAGCGGCATTGGGGAAGGGGGGGACTGCTGTGACTGAACTCTTAAATTTTACAATGCAACTGTTTCTAGTTCTCGAGAAATCAGACGTGTAACCTAAATAATGCTTAGATCTGAAGGCCAAAGTAGGGATTGAGTAAGATTTCCAGTGGGCCAGGACTGCCTTGAGCTGTTCGTTTCATTTGCTAATGGAGACTGAGCACAGTGCTGTGAAGGAAACACCTTGTATGTTGCTGTTCTTGATATAGACCATGGAGGCATACCTTTTGTATGCTGTGGGGGGGGGGGAGATGGTATGTGGAAAAAGCCGCCTGCTTCTGCACCCCTCTTTTCTTTCCTGTCATTAAACATTACTGTTGCACAGCTAAAGCACTACTGCCACTTTCTGTCACTGAGATAGTGTGTTCACAGCAAAAACACACAGCATGAATCCAAGAGAAGGCTCACAATTTTAGCGCTCTGGTTATAAGAGAAGGCACAGATGAACTCATACTTGTGAAGAACATTTGTGCCATAAATCCTGCTCTTTTTGCCCCTGCCTGTGAGGGGAGACAGATGCCAACCAAGCAGGGCCTTTTCCTTGCTGGCACCTTGTCCTTGAAACGACCTTTCCCTTGAGGCTCATCTGTTGCCTCCCTTAACTGTCCTTCGAGCATTAGGCCAAAACGTTCTATTTCCACCTAGGCTTTTAAGCGAGGGGTTCCCTCCGCGTCTACCCTGAGGGCTGTTTTGAGCTGGCGTTTTAGACTCCTGGAAGTTTGTAATGCCCCTGACTGATAATTCTTATCAGTCAGTTCTTCACTATTGTTTTTCCATTTGAGGGCTGCCTCAAGCATTGTGCGATGTGTTTTTCCCCTCTTTCCTTCATGGGCAGGCATGAGGCTGTTGTTCCTATGGGTCCAGTCGGGGAGACAGGTGTGGTAAACCCCCACGGCTACACCCTGAACTACAATGAATTCATCGTCTATGACCCGCAGCAGGTGCGGATGAGGTATCTCCTCAAGGTGCACTTCAATTTTACTCAGCTCTGGTGAGAGCGGGCAGGTGAAGACTGACGGAAGGAAGACAGATTCTTTTCCCGCCTTTTTGAGTGCCTTCAGCTAGAGGGAGACTTAAAAGGATCAACCCCTTGCTGCTGATTGACGTTCCTCTGACACAGTCCAAGAGAGCACCTGAAGTCCTCTTTGGGGGGAAAGGCGGGTTAAAAATGCCACAAACAGAAGTCCTTGCTGCTTCAGTGAAACGTGACCCAAGATGCCAGACTCGGAAGTGGACTGCTGCGACCACCTGTGGCTGTCAGAAATGGGCTCCGTGGTGTGTGTGTGTGAGGGCGGAGCAGGAGACATATTTCAAAAAGATTGGAAAGGTCTTCTCTTTTACTCCTGCTTGTTATTATTTTAAAAACTGGTTAAAATAAAAAGTGTTGGTACTGATAAGGTTGCACAGAGTACTACTAGTTTCCCCTCCCCAAAGGTGCCAGTATTAATATCAGGGAGTACAACTACAAAAAAGCCCTGATTCAGACCACTTGGGGGGGGGGGGGCAAAAACGTGAAGTTTAGTCAAGAATGACAGACAATGGGAAGAAATGCCTGGGTCTTGAATTTTCTGCCCATCAATTGCTGTAGACTTTATTGCATTTTGACTGCAAGGCAACCCCATTCATATAATCGGTCACTAGCACATCAGTTTCCTACAGTGCCATTCTACTCTCCACACAAGCTAAACCAAGGCAGGCCACAGGCAGGAGAACAACGAGGCACAAACCCGACACTAAGAACTGCAGCAGTCGGAGACCAAACATTTCCACCACTGCTGCTTTCAGCATATTAACTTTATTCATCTCATCTTTGTTCTCGAGCTGTTTGGCCCCAACACAAAACGCACCACCAAATCAACCAAGATGCAGGACTTGAATGTGTTTTACGTTCACCCTTCCAACTTGGAAGCACGGAATGGCTGGCTCCGGAATGCGGTCGTCAGCCGGAATTGTAGCTCATGCAAGGAAGAAAAAGCTGGAGCGTCTCTTCTTCCCTCTCAAGCGCTGAGGCTGCTCCATTCCAGGAAGTAGATGTTGCCCAGGGTGTCGCCCATGAGGAAGAGAGGTGGGTCCAACAGAGGACAAGGTTCAAGGTGGGAGATGGGGGCGTGGCATCGGAACTGACCCAGCTGTAGCCCAGACAAAACAAATTGATATGCGGGATAAGGACAGGGGCAAGACTGAGGGAAGAGAATGTGGCCAGATGATAAAACCTGGATCTGAACAGGACTTAGTGTTAGCCACTGTCACAGGTGATGGCAAGGTCGTACAGAAGTGAATTTCCTCCATTACAATAATTTTGTCTGGATAGAAAACTTGGTAGCAGAGGGAAAAGACTTGTAACCTAGCTTTCTCGATGTGCTAGTTTTCTATAGGCGGGGTGTTTTTTTTAAAATGGACACTGTATGAGTACGTCCTGCTGCAGACTGAAGTGGTACAGACCAGCTGCAGGTGTACCACTTTAGAAAAAGTGACATCTTGGGTGAAAGAAGGTAAGCTTGGGATGGGGACCAAAAGAGTTGGAAAATTTCTAAGTAAACAGGGACAGAGCGAGGATGGACACACAAGGAAAATTTGGCTGTCCTTCCGTGATAGTCATAGGACAAGATGGCTTGGTCCTCCTGAGATAGCCCCCAGGCATGGGTGGAACAGAGGTGGTGGGTAAAGGTCAAACCTAAAGGATTGCATTATATCTCCTTTTGATAATAGGTTTAGATACCCATGATTGCTACTGTACATAATTGTTATGTTACACTAGAGTTTAGCATAAAGGGAGCAGGTGCGCTTGTCTGCTTCTGGAGTTGCTCTCAATGCAAATTTGGATATTTTTGTAGGGTTAGGCTTTTCTTTTTATTAGTCCGTCCCCCAACGATTAGATTTAGTTAGTTCAGCATCTGGAAGCCTGGGAACCAAATCTTGTTGGTCCACCTACTGTTATTTCTGCTTATTTATTTATTTATTATTTAGATTTTTATCCCGCCCTCCCCGTAGGCTCAGGGCGGCTTACAAGGCACACTGCCAATATAGTACATCCATAAAACTTTAAACTATTAATATTAAATAATAAATAGTATCAAATATTAAAACATCATGTATACAAAGCAGTAATCGGTGCTCACTTCCTAATAACAAGATGGCGATCTCCTAAAATCTCATCCTCTTTATCAAAGTGCCCACATCGTGATGACCCTGTCCACAGGCTTGGGGCATAGATGGCACCATAATGATGGCGGCTCCTATTCGAATGCCTGGTGGAAGAGCTCCGTCTTGCAGGCTCTGCGGAACTGTGCTAGGTCCCGCAGAGCCCTGATCTCCTCTGGGAGCTCGTTCCACCAGATAGGAGCCGCCACCGAAAATGCCCTATTCCTGGTCGTCATCAGTTTAACAACCCGGGGACCTGGGACATCCAACAGGTTCTGAGTCCCGGACCGTAGTGCTCTTGGGGGCATAAGCTGTTGCTATTGTTTCCTGCATCCACTGTTACCTGCATCTGCTGCATCTCCAATGGACTCGAACTTTGTTCCTGAACAAACCAGATATGCTACAACTTTACATCTATGGGTTACCAACGGACTTTGGCTTGTCACCATCCCCTCCACCTGCTTGGCATGTCACCGCTACACATGCTGTCCGCCATTGTGTGACTGGACTGGTCTAGATCAGTGGTCTTCTATGTGTCATAACATCTTTATTTTTAATAAAGACATTATGAAAGGGGGGAATTGTTGGCAAGTGTGCTTATAAATGTGTTTTATCTGTACTGTGCTGATGCTGGAATGTCTGAGATGTATCTGCATTTGGGTGTGAGTTTGGGAATGCTGTGTAGTATGTTGCTTTGAGTGCTTGCATCTGGAAGCTGCTGTGCCCATGTGCTGCTTGCACCAACATGCTAATGAGGACACGCACACACCTACCCAACCTGCCATGGGACAAAGAAGGCTTTCTCCATTATGCTCAGCCACAAGGACTCTGACAAACAACAACTTTGCCACCATAAAGGAGCTTCTGGAATGGCACGTAACCCTTATCTGGTTTTGAATCACAAGAGTGGACATCCTGTTTACTGGTTCTGGACCAAGCCAGGCCATCTGCAACTCAAAGGTTTCTATGGCAACACAACTTTGACACCTTGGCCAAATGGCTCCATTGAAGTTTAGGGTAGAATTTGAATATTGACCCCCTCGCTCTAGATAGGTACATCACATTCCGATACCCAATAGGTATAAGGACATGGGGCGGACCAAGGACAGGAGGTTGGCATTAGGCTAACACCTAACAAAGGTAATATAAGGCTAGGAGCATCCTTTGTCTGGTGCTAGCCGCCTTTTACCCCACCTTTCTGTAACAAGTTGTGCCAGCTAGTAAGCAAGCTAGCTAGCCATTCACCCCCACACACACACACCTAGGCAACTTAAGCTCTGCTAAGGGTAATCCTCACGTGCTCTCTTGGACTGCAGCCAAGAGGAACCCACACGAGTTTGGCTGGTCCACTCGTGTGCAGCAGAGTTCCTTTTGCTAGACCTTTTGTTCCTGTTTTCTTCATTGGGAAAGACCAACTTCATTTTCTGGAATCAGATAAATATCAATCGCTACCCTTCTGTGTATTACCTCCCTGTTAGTCTGAAGTTATTATTTTTCATACTAATTTGTTTTCCATTTCTATTATATCTAAAGGAACTTGTGAGTGTGTGTGAAAGAATCTGTTTTTGTATGACTGTGAACAATATTACTTAGTAAAGACAACCATTTATTCTTTAAACATCCAGTTGTGTTGTCTCTTTATGGGGAACAGAACAGTGTCTGTCTGACTCATTCTCTGTATACAATTGGTGTCCAAAGAACCTATTTTTAAGCCCCTGTCGTAGATAAGACAGATTTGGACAACGGATTAATCTTTATCAGAGGATTTCCGGTATCACTGTGTATTTGGCTACCAAAATAGCTGTGCCTGAATAAAAGCCAATATTATTCAGCTTTTATTTGGGCATGGCTGGATGGCATTTAAAGAGACTGTTGCCACGGTGGCATAACTCAGCAAGCATTTAAAAGTTTAAATCCCTTCTCTATTATACCCTATGGAGACAGTCCCCATAGGATATAAAGGACCCAAATAAATTCGGGGTTCCTGAATATTTACCCAATTTCCAATACAAAACCAATATTGGTATTCGGGTCCAATAGATCTGAATTGGGGGGAAACAAAAAAAATTTTTGCACACCGCTATATGTAACATCCTATAAAGAACCCTGGAAACCATAATCCTATGTTGCACTGGTGGGGATACTCTAAAAATGCAACCTGTGCAGTGATAAAGGGGCTGGTCCCCCTTGGGGTCACTTACCAGCTTCATTGTGCTGCTCTCCCAGATTTTCACATCCCGGTCATGGGATGCTGTTACAATCTTGTCTCCAAGGATATGGAGAGCTGTAATTTTGTTGTTGTGAATCTAAGAAACAATAGACACAAGGCTGAAATGGCTACAAAGACAGCTTGGGTCCCACTTATGGTACTCTAGGTCCCTGGTGAAGGAAGTCCCACATTTTAAAATACAGAAAGGCATGTTCAGAAACACTTAAGTAATGCAAAAGGCCCTGAGGACAGCTTTAGCCCATCAAAAGCATCGGGATCTAGGTACCGAAACAGCAAAGTCAGGTACCAGTGAAAACTGAAGATGCAGCCTGGCACATATGTCCTAACCCCCATCAGCAGTCTCAGTGAAGTCCAGGCGAGGTTTCCATAAGGGGACCACGCCCCAAAGCAGTCAAGGATTCAAAATATGCTCCAATCCCCATCCTGGGTCCCTTTATCCCATCCAGCACAGCTGCTTCCCCCTCACCTTTCTCCTCTGCTGCCTGTCAAGCACCCACTCAGGTAAGAATGGGTCCTTCGGTCCCTCCCACCGGGTCTGAGTCCACAGGCCTCCTTCACTGTCCGCGAAGAACAAGAACTTATCTGTTGTAAAAGGAGACAAGCATTACTGATGTCACCTTCTGCCCACTTCTTTCTTTCCCGCCCGTGCCCTTCATCTGGATCTGCCCCGTAACCAGCCAACAGCGCATGCAATGCCAGTCACCCCCTGCAGTCCTACACAGGGCTGGTGCGAAACTGACAGCCAGCCTCCCACTTAAGAACCTGACTGCGTCTCTGGCGGTGGAAAGTACCGTCAAGTCACAGCCGACTTACAGCGACCCAACAGGGCTTTCAAGGAAAGAGACAAAGAGAGGTGGGTTGGCCATTGGCCTGCCTCTGCGTAGCCACTGGCGAGATCAGGAGAGCATGGGCCGTCCAGGTTGGAGCACGTATTCCTCTCCTCTGATCAAAGCTCTTTTGACCAAATCTCTCAAGAGGTCATGTTAAACGTCATTGTCGAGATTTTATACCCAAACAATACAGAAAATTTAGTGACAGTGAGGATAATATTAGGAGATCTATCAGATAAAAGGAGTGAGATTATCTTATAGTGGGGCTAAAAGGAAATATTGTCCAAATTGTACTTTAAGAATCAGTTCCTGGGTGTGGCATGCAGGGGGCATTCCAATACAAAAAATGCACCAACGTACCAATCTTCCCTAAAGAACAGTCACACAAACGCTCTGAAAAGGGGGTCCCTGTTAATCCACCACTCATAACGGGTGGGGTTTTAGCCAAATCAATTAAAAAAAGTACTAAAGTAATTTGGTACAGACTAAGGGAAGGGTTGCAAAGATAAGGAAGAACATGCCCTGCTGGCACGAAAACATGTACTCAAATAATCTATCTCCTGGATATGCTTCCTAATGACATCACAGCTGTAGGACCAAATTCCTGAAGCATGTCGGGAGGAGCCAGTATCTAGCTCCCAGATTTTAAAAGTGCACGTGATCACTCCCAAAGGCAGACGGGTCCCAAAGGCTTCTCTGGGAGTCTTAAAAAACAACAACAGTGTCTGTGTGTCTCCACCATGAAGACTAGAAACTCGCATTTCAAAAGGAACCTGGAAGCTGTCTGAGCAGACGCGCCCTCTCCCCCAGGAGCCATTCAGGGCTCACGTCCCCAGACAGAAAAGATCTCGCCCCGGCCTCACCCTTGACCAGCCGAGCCACGGTGACCCAGATCGATGCCCTTTCTTGTTCCCAATGTATGACCTCCATCTTCCACAGATCTGCCGAGTCCAGCTCATCTGCTGACTCGATAATCCTCTATGATACAAAAAAGAGGGGGGTGCAAGTCTGGTGAGGAAAGGAGATCAGACCCCCCCCCCCCATCCAGCTCTTGTTCAGCTAGGGTTGTCACTCCCCCAACGGGGCTGGGGGTGTGCCTGCTTTTGGGGGACCCGATCCACCATCCCCAATCCGGCTGGCAGGGGGAACTCGGCCCCAAAGTGCCCCATCCACACCATTGTCACACAGGGCATGTTGTGGGGGCACACGCCACTCTGTCATTTGAGGGAAATCTCTATGGTTATGATAAGAATTTTCCCTCAAACAATAGTGTCCCGCCCCCCCTGCAGCATGCCCTGCTCGATGACGTCACTTCCGGGCATGCCAAAGAGGTCCGGGCAGAGATGAGGACCTCCCATGGGCAGCCAGGTAAGACCCGGCAGCCTTACTTTCAGCCGAGCACCACTGACAGAAGAAATCCGACTTGGGCAACTGCTTCACCGCAGGAAGCTCACTTTAGGATCTGCTTTAGATAAGCAGAATTCCTGGAAATGGGAGGCAGGGACTGGCCGGAAAAGGGACCCAACCAGTTTTCCTGCTGGTGAAACAGGGAGACAGTCCCCCTTTTGACCACCCAAAAAGGTTATGCTGGGGATCCATGGGGCGAGTGTGGGGAAATGCCACTTGTGCCGTGGGCTGGGATGAAGAGCAAAAAAAGCTGGCTGGCTCCATCCCAGTTCTTGGGAAGCGGCTGTGGCTCAGTGGCAGAGCATCGGCCCATCATGCAGACGGTCCCGGCTTCAATCCCCCAGCGTCTCTGGTTAAAAGGACCAGGCGGTAGGTGATGCAAAAGGCCTCTGCCTGAGACCTCGGAAAGCCACTGCCAGTCTGGGAAGACCATATACTGACTTGGAAGGACCAAGGGTCTGGCTCAGGGCAAGGCGGCTTCACGTGTGGGAGGGCTTTGATCTGGCCGACAGCTGCAGGAACAGGCTCAGGAGGCAGAAGGAACCTGATGTGTGTAAGAGCCTGCGGCAATTTCGGAGTTTGGGAGGACCCCTGGCTTCCGGCTGCAGCAGCTGCTCACCATTATGAACTGCCCAAGGTAATCTGTGTACCAGAGGTGAAGGATGCCCTCCTCGGATGCAGAGACGTCGAAGTACTCCTTGCCAAAGGAAACCCAGGGGTCCTCTCTGCTCCTGGGGGAGTGAGAAGGAAGAATGGTGAAGCAGACTATTTCTCCACCCCCTCTTCCCCCGAGAGCCGCTTCTCTCCCACACCTGCTGTTCCAGAAATCCTTGGCTTTGGGGTTGAGCAGCGAAAAGTCTCCATCAGCCAGACCTAGGACTACAGATCCACCAGGATGGGGCATCCAAGCGCAGACCACTGAAGGCTTCACTGCCGACTGGAGAAGCTGCCTGTGTGCCAAACTGAGCAAGGGGGGGGGGAGCATGTGCAAGAGAGAGATAAACATAATGCCATAGATATGCTGCAGGGGTTGGGATGTGGCACTCCTTGAAAAGCACCAAAAAGATGAAGGAAAGGAAGAGGAGATCAGAATTATACCCACCCTTCACTACCTGAAGGAGTCTCAAAAAGTGGTTTACAATCCTTTCCCCTCCCCACAACCATAGGCGTAATCTTCGTGGGGGCGGCGGGGCGTGAGCCCCCGCCGAAATTTTCAGGAAGGTACTCAGCCTCCCCCGGGAGCCACCCTTGCTCCTAGCAAAGCAATGCCTCTGGTCGAGCCCCAGCCCCCCCCGGGAAATTGGAAAGTCTACACCCTTGCCCACAACAGACACCCTGTGAGGTAGGTGGGGCTGAGAGAGCTCTGAGAGAACTGCCCTTGAGAGAACAGCCCTGAAAAGAACTTGTAACTGACCCAGGGTCACACCAGCAGCTGCATGTGGAGGAGTGGGGAATCAAACCCGGTTCTCCCAGATTAGAGTCCGCTCTCCTAACCACTACACCAACGATGAATTAAGGGCAGACCCCATGGGTGCTGCAAGTCACCCCTTTTGACCAAAAAGTCCTCCCTTGAACTAACTGAAAGATCCCCCAGGCTGACTTGGAGCAGTCAGGTTGAGCATTCTGGTTCCAGCTGTGGTCAGCCGGATGCTTCAGGGAATGCTCATAAGCAAGGGGATAGTCCTCTCCTGTTTACACCCAATAAGAAGGGTACACTATTCCTAAACACAGAGGATCTACTGCAGACTAACAGCCATTGAAACTGTTTGTCTCATAATTTATTAAAAAAACAGTGGCTTCAGATGAGGACTCTGCTTCAGATAAGGGGGCGGCAGCCCCTAAACAAGATTATCAATTGAGGAAAAGAAAGAACAAAGCAAAATAAAGGCTGAAGGACTCTGAATTGTGCCTTAAAACATTTAATGTTGGAATTTTCTTAAAATAGTTAAAATATGAGCTAAAAGCTAAATATATTAGCATAAATGACCATGTTAAACGTAATCTAAACATGTTAAGAATAACACTTATACAAGCTATTGTAAGGATCTCCTATACTTGGAATTTTATTTATTAGTGGTTTCTTTCCTGTATCCTTAGTTGCAGTTGTTTCCCCTTCCCTTTTTTTCTTTGTAGTTCATAGTCTTTAGAAAATGCAATAAAAAATCCCCTCTAGGGGTTAAAAAACAACAACAACAAAAACCCAGTGATCATCTTTTAGAGATTTGGACATGTTTTCCAGATAAACTGGTCTCCCCGCTGCTGTATTTGTATTCCTCCGCCTCTTTCACTCATTTCCACAGAGGAATCAGCAGTCCAAGGTGCAAAAATGCAGTTTGTCCTCTCTCGCAGCGCAGCATCAGACTTCCCTGTTTCCAGGGATTCCCTTCCTGCGCCACAAGAGGGAGCAAATTGCATACCACATACAAGCTTAGATCAGCATTTACAGCATGGCGTTTCCAGACTATGCCAAAAGAATTACTCCTGGGATGATGCTTGAAAATACCCCAGTAACTGTGTATTTGTATCTGTAAAACTTGGGGGGAGGATCTTTTCCATTATGTCATGGTCTGCCCATTGTACTGGGAACCGAGATGTAGCTTCTTTTTTTCTTTTCTTGTTTTTCTTTTTCACAACCAAACTTAGCTGCAGCCGTTTAGTTTTCATCAGACTAAATGACGTCATTATACCACGACGGTATAATCATTGACCTCGAGCCAGACATCCTGGAATGTGAAGTGAAATGGGCCTTAGAAAGCATTGCTAACAACAAAGCTAGTGGAGGTGATGATATCCCAGCTGAACTATTCAAAGTCTTAGAAGATGATGCTGTTAAAGTGCTGCACTCAATTTGCCAGCAAATTTGGAAAACGCAACAGTGGCCACAGGATTGGAAAAGGTCAGTATACATTCCAATCCCAAAGAAGGGCAATGCCAAGGAATGCTCAAACTATCGCACAATTGCACTCATATCACACGCTAGCAAGGTCATGCTCAAGATCCTACAAGCTAGGCTTCAACAGTACGTGGATAGAGAACTGCCAGAAGTACAAGCTGGGTTTCGAAGAGGTAGAGGAACTAGAGATCAAATTGCCAACAGTCGCTGGATTATGGAGAAAGCACGAGAGTACCAGAAAAACATCTACTTCTGCTTCATTGACTATGCTAAAGCTTTTGACTGTGTGGATCACAACAAACTATGGGAGGTCCTTAAAGAGATGGGAGTACCAGACCACCTCACATCTCTTTTTTTTTTTTTTTAACTCATTTATTTTCATTTTTCATTAAAAAAAACAGAAAGTAACATAATAAACAAAGTATCCTCTCGGAGTCTTATCCATCATGATCTAACCATTCGTACAAACGCTTCCATCTTTTTTCAAACAGTTTATCGTCTTTCCCTTTAAGTATTAAGCTTAGCTTATCTATTTCTGCCATTTCCAATAATTTACACACTAGATCTTCTTTCTTTGGGATATAGTCCTGTTTCCAAAATTTCGCTAGCAAAATTCTTGCAGTAGTAAGGATTATGACAATAATGTATTTATCTTCCCGCCTGTAGGCCTCTGGTAGCATATTTAGCAACATTATTTCCGGAGATAGCTGGATTTTTATGTTTATTAGTTTCCAGATTGTGTCTTGAATCATTTTCCAAAAATTTTGTACCTTTGGACACCTCCACCACATATGAATGAAGGTACCGATATTATTATGACATTTCCAACAGTTTTTAGGGAATGCTGGATTACACTTGGCTATTTTATCTGGCGACCAGTACCATCTATGGTATACTTTGTATATGTTTTCTTTGTAATTAGTGCTTCTTACCAATTTAATTGACTTCCAGGTTTTCTTCCAATCCTCTGCATTTATTTCATGCCCCACGTCTTTACACCAAGCTTTCATCGTATTAGAGGGCCCTTCCTGAACCCGGTCCTCCAATAACCATCTATACAGTTTTTGAATCATTTTATCATTGTTTGATGCCCATATTTTGTCTAACTGCAATTTCCCGTCTTCA